TCGCCGGGGTCGGCCGACGCGGCGGTCGCCAACCAGCTCTTCTCACTCGCACGCGCCGTCTACGAGGACCTCAGCCTCACTGCCCTGGTGCGCCTCGACATCCGCGCCGATGACAAGGGGCGCCTGCACATCCTCGAGGCCAACCCCAAGCCCGACCTCGCTCGCCCAAAGGCCGGCTCGGCAGTGACCAGCATGGTGGCCGCGGGGCTGCCGGCCCTCGGCTGGTCGTACGAGGACCTCATCGCCTTCCTGCTGGTGGAGCGCCTGTGGCAGCTGCAGACCAAGCGCCCTGAGGTGCTCGCCCACTTCATGCCCGCCGGCAGCAACGGCGACGAGCTCATCCGCGCGCTGCCGTGCCGCATCGCGTCGGTGCTCGGCGCGACGCCGGCGCCGGCGGCGCCGCTTGAGGTGCGGGAGCTGCGCAAGGCGCTGAGCGCGGCGCTGGTGCGCGCCAGCAGCCTGCAGCTGCGGGAGGAGGGCGCCGTGGAGGGGGCGGGCCGCTTCTCGGGCGGCAGCTTCACTGGGTGCGGCTTCCCCTTCGCGCGTACCTGCGACCTGGGCGCGGCTTCCTTCACCTACGCGTGATCTCTCATTGTTGTGCTATTGCGGTGCTGGCGTAATGGATTCAAAACTGCATTCGGTTTCCAGTCACGTGTGTCACGATAGGTCCTAGCAAGACAGACTGTTTGCACCAGCTGCCAGCCCCCCTTGCTCTCAGAGGCGGGGGGCATTGCACCCACCAGCACAAACACCTTCAATGACCGCAACGAGCCGTCAGAATTCATGGTGACTCACCACCAAAACCACCTTTTGCTAGAATTTCTTGAGAGCTGCGCATTCAGCACTTGGCTTCAATTAATCATGTGTAAAATTAATCCTCAGCAGATGAAACATACATTGTGTGCATGAGGGATCAAGGATCAAAACATTCATCTGCTTGACCAGCTGCACGGTTTAGCTCGCCCACAGTCACCTTGTGCGCACTGCATTGTGATCGCGCAAAGAGCACATCTGGCCGTGGCACGACCAAACTGAGGGCGGGTCCGGCGGTAACCACAATTATTGATGATTATGTCAGAGCGATCCAAGGTCAACAGATAGGAGACGCTAGCCCGTTATGGAAAAGCGGATTGCAGGGGCAAAGAATGATGAGCAAGAGGTTTGACCAACAAAATTGACACCTGCAACCTTGTGCAACCTTGTGCTACTCCACAACAGCCGCTGCCTGCTTTGTCATTCCTTTGCGTGCCTAGTACTATATTCCTCACAAATAAAACATCAAACAACTTTTGCTTGGCATATTGGACTTACTCTGATGCTGTTCTCTGTAATCACAATGTACACATGTCCCCACAACTTGTTCCAGTGCCCCTTCACGTTGCCGGGGGGGGGGTTGTGGAACCGGAGCGGCTCAACATCCTGTGACTGGCAGCTGTGCAAATGGTTGTACAGTATGTGCACACCTGCACAGCAGCATATGCATTGACAACTACCCGCCGGCGCCTACCAACAATCAAACGGCATCTCTCAATCCAAAGTAGACAGCCACTCATTTGATGCGCGCCTGCAATAGTCTGTATGTACGACCGGATGGCGCAGGCCCGCTGGCGCCGGTTGCAGTGGGGTGGATGCATGCACCGCCTAAGTTCACAACGCGTGGTCCCAGCCATGCAGTTCTTACGCTCCCAACCACGCGCTGGCGACGGAGTCGGGGCGTCACATGCGCCCCCGCTGCGGCCAGGGGCGCAAGCTCAGGCCATCCGATCGTACATAAGATAGTTTTGAGCGTGCATTGCCTGTTCAACCTGCTGCCTGCCGGTTTGGGTATCTCTTTTTAGCGTTCGTTGGCAAGGGAGGAGGTCTAGTGTCAATGCACGTGCTTTTGTGCACACGCATTTGCACAGTTTCCAGGTCCGCATTTACCTGTCAATCCCATTCTACATCTCACTGCCACATGGAAGGAAAATGGAAATGTTTATGTTGTGGGGTAAGTGTTTACGTGGAGGCGGTCCACACAGAGCGCCGCAAGAGGGAGACCGACACGCATCTCATGCAATGATTGTTTGGCATCCATTTGTGAGTAGTATAGTATAATAGGACACAGCTCAAGGAGAGATGACACCGCCATGCAATTATACAGACAAACAGAACGAGTCTTGACTGTTCCAGAACTGTGGTTAATTCACAGGTGCGAGAGTAGCAAGCAGCAGTAGGCGTCAAACTCCGTCTCAGTCGCGGCCACCTCATCCCCGCCAGCCGCGCTGCCCTTGTAGCCGCTGGAGCCCGGGTTGTGCAGTCCGCCATACATGCCACCCAGGATGTCAAAGAGCACCATGGGAGGCCTCTCCTCCTGTTGCTGCTGCTGCTGCCGCTGCTGCTGGCTGGTGCCCTCGCCCCCGAAAGGCGATACGTCATCCGCGCCCTGCTGCTGCTGCTCCTGCTGCTGCTCCTGCTGCTGCTGCGCAGGCGGTGAGGCCGCATACAAAAGCCCCGCCTGCCGGCAAGCCTCCAGGTACGCCGCGGCGCAGTCCGGCAGCCCGGCGCCCCGCAGCACGCCCAGCGCGCCCCTCAGGCAGCCGGCCGCGGTCAGCAGGCCGACCGCGCGCCATATGCTGCCCTCAGACCGCAGCACGTGCTGCGCCCACCGCTGCAGCGCGGTGGCGCGCTCGGTGCCGCGGAGGCCGCGGGCGATGAGGCTTGCAGCCAGACGCCAGAGCCCCTCCTCCTGCGGATGGTGACAATGTATGGTTGCAGGATCGCTTTACAGACGACCGCGCAGGTTGATGGGTGCTGAGAGGCGCACCGTGCACTGGCGGGCATGCACATGGGTGGGGTGCCCCGTGACCAAAGCGGCTGGGGTGTCACTCATGCATCTGGTGTGCACTGAGTCTGCCCGTCCTGGGCCACAGTGTGAGCCACCAAGACCGAACCCCCTTGCCAAAAGGCAGCAGTCTGCAGAGGAACGAGTAAACAGCAACATGCATGCATTCAGCACAACCAAACACACACACACACACACACACGCGCGCGCGCGCTTGCCAAATCACACAGACATGCCCCTGCCCCCACATACACGTGTGTCTGCGTGCGGGCGCCCCACCTGCAGGACCACCACTGCGTCTGTGATGAGCCCCGCGGAGATGCTGAGTGGCACTGCCAGGAGAGTGTCCCCCATGCTAGCTGCGTGGGCTGACAGGACCTGCACGCGCGCACGTGTTGTACGTGTGTGTGTGTGTGTGTGTGTGTGTGTGTGTGTGTGTGTGTGTGTGTGTGTGTGTGTGTGTGTGTTGTGTGTATATGTATGTGTGCGTGCGCGTGCTCGCTCGCAATGTGGGTCAACATGAGCGTGTGCTGTACCATCGCCCAGGCTCATGGGACCCCGGAGCTTGCAGCAGGCAGCGGTACGCCTCAACACGGGATGGTGTGTATCAACGCCCCCGCCACCGTTCAATGGCAGGGCCGCAGCAGCCGGCCCCGCCCCCTTCAATATGCCCCACCACGCCGCTCCCCGCACCTTGGCAGCCTGAACATGCAGCGTCGTCCCCGTCCCCGCCGCCGCCGCCGCCCCACCCCGCCCGCCGCCCCCCGCCGCCGCGGCGCCAGGCGGGGCCGCCGCGGCGGCGAGGGCGAGCGTGATGGCTGCGTTGCGGTAGTAGTGCTCGTTGCGCTCGGGGTTGGTGGACAGCAGGAAGGCGACCGCCGTCTGGATGTCCCCCAGGACTGCGTATTCCAGGATCCTGCCAATCGTTGTTTTTCAGTCGATAAGGATTTAGTGTACAACCTTTTGGGTGCTTGTGCAGCATGAGGGAAGGCGATGTGTGTGTCCTTCCTCCTAACAAACTCAACACATCCGACCTCGCATCCCCCGCGCGCCTGCTCTCGAGTAGGCGTGGCGCGTCGAAGACCGCGCGCGGCATGGCCTCGTGCCACAGGGCGCGCTCCTGGGCGTCAGCCAGGGTGAGGTCCTCGTCCCACAGCCGCACAGCACGGCCTTGAGTGTGTGTGCGTGTGAGTGTGTGTGGGCGGGCGCGCGCGCGTGTGTGTGTGTGTGTTTGTGTGTTTGTGTGTGTGTGTGTGTGTGTGTGTGTGTTTGTGTGTGTGTGTGTGTGTGTGTGTGCGTGCGCGCGTGCGTGCGTGTGTGTGCGTGTTCGCATGTGTGTATGCGCGTGCGTGCACTCTTGTGCGTGCACGTTTTCGAAAGGCATCTCCATAGCCGCGACGCGCCGGTGCGCATGGCGCGGATGCGTCGCCGCAAGACGTCGCACGCTGCAGCCCCACCCCTTGCGTGGCAGCCCTCCCACCAAGAGCGGACCTGCCTCCCCCCCTGAGCCGGCTCCCACCTGCCGCCACCCGCTTGATGACAGAGTTGCCACGCCCAAACGGCGCCGACGCGCCGCGGGGCGCAGGGCCAGACACCACCAGGCGCCCAGGCCGTCGCCCCGCGTCCCCCGCCCCCGCCGCGCCCGCCGCGCCGCCCGGGGCGCCGCCGCCCCCGCCCCTGCCTTCCAGTGCCTGCGACACGAGCCTGTCGTAGTCATCCCTGTCCAGCGCCCCCCCGCCTTCCGCGCCTGCCGCGCCCGCCTCTGCCGCCGCCTCCGTCGCGGCCGCCGCGGCGGACGGCTGCCGCAGGGGCCCCTTAGCGCCGCGGATCGCGTCGTGCATGTGCCACACGGCCGCCAGCGTGGCGGGGAGGTGCGTCCAGAAACGAGCCTCCCGGGGGT